AATACAATATAAAAACAATCCTAAAAATAAATAGGTTCCAAGAAGATGGAAAATTGGCAAGTAATTTCAGGGAGGATCATCGGGTAGATATGGGCTCTAACCACCCTCAGGGATGGGTAGAGCCCATATCACCCCATGCACACTGACAGAGCCAGGTCTTTAAACCTTTTTGGAAAGCCAGGAGGGCAGGGGCCCGCCACACCTCTGGGGGGAGAATATTCCAAAGGGTGAGGACAACGGCAGAGAAGGCTCTCCTCCTGGGCCCCACCAGCCGGCATTCCCCCACTGATGGGGTCCACAATATGCCCTCTCTGCCTGACTGGGTGGGACAAGTTGATTGATTACATCCAAATCCAGCAATGGTGTTTGTTTCTGCAAATGGTGGCTAAACAGAACAGGACTTAGTTCTTTCGGTTTGGCAAAAACAAAATTGTTGAAACTAGTTTCCAGTCCTAAATAATTAAGAGATTTATAAACCAAGATTTCATTCAAATGCATTTGCCCAGACTTTACAATACACAATTAAATTCCAGAATAGAGCCAGGAAGATTAAGAAGGATTGTAGAAATATTTTAAGTATTTTAAAATCTATTGGGCATCAGCCAATCAAATAAATGGCTTTAAAATCCCAGTAATAAATGGGAGAGATTTAAATCCTCTTCTGAAAATTAGTGGATTTAAGTGATTAACTTCAGGCTGGATAACACTCACTACTTGGTTTTTGCATGCAAATTATTATCCCTGGCCAAATGAAGTAATATTTGTTTCCTAAATGTTTTATTGTTATTATTGATGTTCTTTTGGGCATGATTATGATTGCTAGATCTGGTTTCCAGAAATCTAGATGACTACTAGATGACAGGTTTTTCTGCATATCTTTCTGCCATCTAGTTGTCTTTTTTCCAGCCAAGAATTGGTAGTTTTTGTTACGATGAGATGAAATTAGGGTGTTTATATAATATTCAGTCTTCATTGGCATCTCCATCCTATTAAAGGAATGAAGACAAAAACATCTGGATTAGCATAACACACTAAGCTACAAAATAAGCAAACACATTTTAGCCTAGCATCTTGTGTAAATGCAGCTCATGTGGTTAGTTTATGGTTTAGTATGTCATACCAACCCAGAAAACTGGGTTTTCTGTTATCTATAAGTGAGCTATGTTAATGCTGTTGGCATTTCAAACTAGTAGAAGTATTTTGATACCACTGTTGCTACACTTCTCTAGACTAGAAACTGAAAGAGTTGTAGTTCAAGAGTGCTGAAGGGCATTAGCAGAACTTCTCTTTCAAGGCAATAGGACATTGAAGTTTAAGGTATTTTAATCGTCAAACCAAGAGTAACAATCTCCTCCCTTGCACAGCGATCGCAGTCAGACTTACTGTTTTCACATTTTTATATGTGGCACAGTCAGCATCAGTTGGGGCTCATATATTTATTCATTTGTTTAATTTAATTTATAGGCAGATATAAGAGGTGACAATGAGCTAAATTTGGGAAGTGCTGTGAAGGGCAGCGGGTGAGTAGATCATATTTTTGCTCTTCACCAGGACATTGAAAAATGTACGAATGCATGAAAGTAATTTTATTGTATATTGGTTTGATTACAGAATGTCATAAAGTAAATGGGCTTGAATTATGGAACTTTTGTCAAATACTGGTAATCCTTGCTTACCGACCACTTATTTATCGACCATTCAGAGTTGCGATGGCGCTGAACAAGTGGTACTTACAACTGGCCCTCAAAGTTCCGGCTATCGCAGTGCCCCCACGGTCATGGGACCGCGATTCGGGCGCTTGGCAACCAGCTCGAACTTATGATGGTTGCAGTGTTCCGCAGTCACACAATCACAATTTGTGACGCTCCCTGCTGGCTTTCCACAAGCAAAGTCAATGGAAAGCTGGCAAGGAAGGTTGCAAGTTGCTCTGGTAAGTCTCCCCCCCCACACACCAGCCTTTCTGCACACTGTGCCGCACCCTCCTTCCCTTTCCCTCCCTGAACTCACGCCAACCTGCACCCTCCTACTCCTGGCCTCCTTGCATTTGCGCCACACTGTAGCACCCTCCTTCTCCAACTTGTGTGCAACCTATGCAGGCCTCCCCCACCCCTCTGCGGCACCCCCACGCTCACCAGGGACTCCCACTTCTCACTTAAGGACCCCCACATCTTGGGGTTATGACGGCAACCGGGACTGCCTGGATTGTCATTGCTAAGCGATGCAGTCATGTGATGTCACGCTTTGCGATTGCACAAAGGTCAGCTAGGGGCAGCAGAGTGCAGGGTGGCCAAAAAGGGCAGAGATGGGGGGAGAGGGGTGGAGGGAGTTGAAGCGGAGGTGAGTGTGGCAGGGCAGGATAAGCTTGCGGTCCTCGCCTAACAATGGCACAGTCCTGGCTTAACAATCGCAACCAGGACTACCAGAACTGTCATTGCTAAGCAGTGCAGTCACATGACTTGAATCTCTTTATGGACTTTTTAAAGAAAAATGAATTTTTAAAAAATGGTGCAGTCATGTGATGTTTTGCATAGTGATCACTTCGCATAACGAGAGAAAGTCTGGTCCCAATTAGAGTTGTTAAGCAGACTACCTGTATGTGCACTTTCATATGCAGATGATGCCAGGTTGTTGGTTGAGAACTGGAATAATTTCCAGCAGTGATTGGATTGTATGGATCTGAAAATTAAGGAATTAAGATATGAAAAATAATGTATCAAAGACCAAAGTAATTGTGTTTGAGAGGGAAAATGGACAATTGCAAACTGTACATAAATGGCAAAAAAAAAAAGCAAGTAGATTAATTTGTGTATTTTGATAGAATATTGACTAAAGATGGAAACATGGATGGAGAAAATGTAAGATGTTTATTTATTGGATTTGTTACACCTGCCGAACTCCAAGACTCTGGGCAGCGTACAATAGGTGTAATATATATATTAAAGACGTACAAAAGTTGGTAGAAAAGTAGCAAGTAGTATGGGATCTGTTGCAAAGAATGAGTATTTGTTTTTCTTTTGATTGTGCCATCTACCCACTTTGTTGTATGGAAGTAAGGGTTGGGTGTGTCAGAAGAAACTTAAGAGTAAGTTGAATGCAGTAGGAATGAAGTACAAAGTACTGAATGTAATAAAGCAAGAAGATATGGGATCAAGAATGAACATAATATGTATTAAGCTATCACTATGAAAAGTATGTTGAGGTGGTTTACTCATATAATGAACAAGGCTGAATAGCAAATCAAATAAGCTGAAAGGAAAGAGAAGATGAGAAAGTTGTGGTGGAATGGAGTTGATGAGATTCTGAAAAAGGTGAGAAGTTTCAAGAACAAAAGACAATGTATAAGCAGTGTGTGGGTTGAGGCAAGAATAATTTATCAGGATAGAAAGGTATAGAGAGATGAAGTGAATACAGGTAGTCCTGAAAAAATAGTTTTGTGACCAGTCCTTGAACTTATGATGGTCACATCCCCAAAATCATGTGATCTCAATACAGATGCTTCGCAACCAATGCACAATTATAATGGCTGCAGCATCCCACAGTCACATGATCTCCATTTGCAAGCTTCCCAGCTGGCTTCTAACAAGCAAAGTCAATGGAGAACCTGGCAGTAAGTTGCGGTCACATGATGTCATGCTTAACGAACGTGGGTGATTCACTTAATGACTGCAGCGGAACTGACATCATAAATCCAGTGTGGTCGTGTGATGATTCACTTAATGACCATGTTGCTTAGTGATGGAGTTGCTGTTCCCAATTGCAGTCATTAAGTGAGGACTACCTGTAGTGTTAATTTTAGCTAAGTTTCTTTTCTTATCTAATTTCTTTACTTTATATGGCTTGGTATTTCATATTCGTTTTTTGCGCTTAGCATAATACCGTTCATCCTGATAGGGAATTGTATGACAGATATGTATGTAAGTCTCTGCATCTAGTAGATGCAGTATTCAGTTTGGCACAGGGAAAGTGTTCAGAATTGTAGCTCTATTTTCCATTTGACCTAATACAATTTAACACTGACATTCACACCAGATAAATCAAATCAACCAGCGTACGTTTAAGCATGCATTTGTACACAGAGCATCACATTTAAATATGCATTTTTACACAGAGCATTTTAGCCCTGTGAACATTTACTTGTAAGTACATCTCAAGGAATTCAGTGGGATTTACTCCTTACTGTGTGTGTGTGTGCGTGTGTACATATAGACACATACAGAGGGAGACATAGTTAGGATTGCACTGTAACTGGGGCAGCAGTTATAACCCTATGGTTATATATTATATATAATATAATATAAGGGTCATAACCTTGATAATTCATGGCTTGATGACCACTTGATTCCCTACTTCAATTTGTTTTATATAGGGTTGCCTTTAGAGACAACATTGAAGCTATAGCTGGTAAAAATGCAGCAGCAAGGTCAAGCCTTGCCGATACAGAATTATACCCTTATTAAAGTCACTGTTTTGGTCGCCAGGAGGCTTCTGGGCCCAATTCAAAGTGCAGGTCATTATCTGTAAAGTTCTAGATACATCAGGCAACACTTTGCCATAAATGAATCTGTCCATCCAGTCCAGTCATTGAGAGGACTTGCTGAAAATTCCTTCCTCTCAGGAGGTTCATGAGACATGGATGAGACAGCAGGCCTTTGCTATAACAGCCCTCACCTTATGGAATAATCTACCTCTAGAAGTACATGCAGCCTATTCTGAAAAGAGGTTAAAACTATTTTATTTGAACACATTTTCAGGACCAGCTGACTGAATGTGGGTACCAATATTGGATTTCATTTGGGGTTTATCTTTGCTTTTTGTGATTGTATTTTGGTTTTTGATATTGTTCTGATTTACCTATTTACGGTATTATTATATTTTTGGTTTTCTTCTTATAGATGTATGATGCCCAGGATTGGGGGCAGTTTAGAAGTACTCTAAAACAAATAAATATAGAGGATACTGTACAGACCAGGCTGGAGTCAAAGAAACTAATTTATCATTTATTTTTAATATCTTCTCCCACAGCAAAGCATAACTTGCTTTCACAGCAAAAGGTGTCAAGATCACACTATATGCAAAAGCTTAAGGGCATGTTTATTTATTAAGATTTATTTATAACTGAGCCTTCAAGGATATCATCAAGGCAGCTAGATCTTATTTATTCAGACATCCAGCATAAGACTAAGATTTTGAGATAGATGACAATTAGGCCTACAACATTTTAATTAATCAATAATTAATTGATCAATTTCAAAAAGATAATCCTGTAATCCTATGCATGTTTATCTGGCATTAAGCACCACTGAACTCGACAGGTCTTATCTTTAAGCAGATATGTCCAGATTTGCACAGTAATTCCACTAAAAAGTGATCCTGCCAAGGAACAGATCTTTTAAAAATGTATAAGCCAGGAATGTATAACTTCTACACTTGGCAAGTGCCAAGAAAAAAAAAATTCTCATTCTGTCTCTACAGGACAAATGCCTTTTCTGGTGCCCATTACCTGTGAACAAAGCATGCTTATTGCTTCAAAGAAATGTTTCAACCAACCAGTTAATTAGGATTTCAATATTTTTGGTTGACAATACAAATTATTAGCGTCCCTCCTTATTCATGAAAGCTCTGTTCCAGCTGAAAACTGTGGATAACAATACTGTGAATTACATGATCTTAAGTCTATGGGAATTGGGGAGGTTAGGTTCCAGAGCTTATGTTTTTTCCTCCAGTGAGCATTTCTCGGTTTTCTTCCCTTAGATTTCATCTTCATAACATACTGACTCCTCTTCCTTGGTTGGTTTTTGGCAGATGCTGCAAAGCAAGGCAGAAAGTCAGCTCAGTTGCACAGCTCCATGAGGCTTTCTGATTGCAACACGCCTTCTTCAAAGTAACTTGCTCCTGGTAATGGAGGAAATCACCTCATTTTTGCCACTTGGTTTATACTGGCTTCCTCCCTCTGCACAGCTCTTTTGTGATCTTGGTGGAGAAGCCTCTTGTGGCTCCATACCACAAGGTTATCAGAGTAAGCCATGAACCATGTCTTTCATGATATCAGTGTAGAAGGTTCTTAATTGTCCTGAGTTCTATGAGTAGCATTAGCCTCCAGACCCCTCCACTGGGACTGCAGAAGGCATAACGTTACCTGTCCTTGCACTAAGCTAAAATCAAACCAAATTATGATCTTAGTACTGTGTATGAATCCAGCTATTGTATTTAAACAGTTTCAAAAGATATTTTTTAAAAAAATCTCAACAATTTATTACATTCTCAGTTTTCCTGGTATTCTTTTTGAAACAGAAAAAGCAAAGGCAGTTGTGTTGGGTAAGAGCCAAAAAAAAAAAAAAAAAAAGCAAAATATCACACTATCACAGATAGGCTAATGCAAGATCACAAAAAATCATGTGCAAATTTTTGAAACCTCTCATAACATTGTGGCAGTGGAATTTTGAAATAAGATATATATTTTCCATGCAAACTAATATCCTATGCAGTAGTCTGCTATAATGACCTAGATCTGCTTGTTACTCAACATTTGCTTATTTCAAGCCCAAAGTTGGTTTATTTTTTTCCATAACTTCAGACGTCTTAGATGTAGATTTCAAGTGGTGCATTGTAAAATGTTTCACAGAAGGAACTTAATGTGTGAAATGGGTGGCTATATAAATGTGACAAATAAATGACAAATAAATAAATAAATAAATAAATAAATAAATAAATAAGCAAGCTGTTTGTTTAGTAGTAATAGGTATTAATCATGCAACTGTCTGCTACCACTGTGATAATTTTCCTGCTGACCACATCTTGCCACATTATCATCCATCATGAGTGGATCCTTATAAAAATATCCTCAAATCACAACTGTTGGCATGATACATTTTTGAAACAGGATAAAAGCAGCTAGTAGTTGATATCTGAGCCATATAACATGTGATATTGTAGCAATGCATGTAATGCTTTGAAACACTGCAGCCTAATGTATAATTTAATCACTCCTTGTTTACAAAAGGTAATTCCAACTTCATTTGAAGAAATGCACTGGGGGCATTGGATGATATCACACATACTATATGCCTTTGCCCGAGTTAAGCTGTAAGCTGTGGACTACAGTCTAGAACCAGTCTAGTATAGCAGAATCAGATGCAACTGTTAGGTTCACACCTAATCCTAATGTGGTTTATTTATATTTTAGTATAACATATGAATCCAGGCAAATGAGTCCACAGTTTGTCAATAAACCATGATTAAATGAACCACAGTTGGTTACGTGAATCCACTTGGCACAGATCTTTACATAAGACAGTGATTCTGAATTTTATGCATTTCTGCAGGATCTTGTATACAAATATGTATTTATGTATTTATGTTTGTTTGTTTATTTGTTTGTTAAATTTATATGCTGCCCATCTCCCCCAGAGGGTGATTTTGGGTGGCACACAATTAAAATAAAACTCGAAATATAGTGTGTATGTACACTTAAAGAAGCAAAGACTGCATGCAAGCAATGCAAAACAAAAACAAAAAACCCTACCCAAAGGTAGATCTGTACAACTAGCATACATAAAGCAAATTGAAAAGATGTCTGGGAAGTTCATGCAGAGATTCATCTGTGTTTTTTGTGACCAATTATAGATTCACAGCTTCTAGAGAGCTCTGCTATTTCAGGGAAAAGATCTAGAGCAGTGTTTCTCAACTTGGCAACTTGAAGACATGTGACATGACTGGCTGGGGAATTCTGGGAGCTGAAGTCCACACATCTTCAAGTTGCCAAGGCTGAGGAACACTGATCTAGAGAGCCCTGCTATTTCAGGGAAAATACAAAGAAATGTAGTACACATAGTGATGGAAATACTTTGTCTGCATCTATTGTGTGACTGTGTTTTGTAAACAAGCAAATCTCAACACTTGGCTCTAAACCTTCCATTGTTTTGAATTCAAAGCCACTGGGGAAGCTGACCTGCTAGCAAACAGGCATGACTGCCATCTCTATTTCAGTACTGTATATTGACAACTGGCTTCAGGCAGGAATAAGCCTTATGGGGAATCATGGGGAGCCATTATGGAATTATATGCTTAAGTATGGAATGACTACAGATTAGAGCTGACAAATCCTACCCAGCTATTAAATGAAAGAAATGTAAAAGCTGGAAGAATTACAACTTACAATTTGAAAGGCTACTAAAAATAATTAGCATTTAGAATATAAAGCTCTCAGGCTGCCAAAGTGTCAACTTTCAATTATTAGTGGTACTCAACAGCCCACTACTATGCCTCTTTATTCCAAGTTAAGTTCAATGGTAATTGCTGCATCTCCAAGATTTCAGTAAGGTACCATTGCTGATAGATAAAAATATTATATAAAGATATTGAGCAGTATCTTAGATTTACAAGCTGGTCCCCAAGACTCCTTTCCATGTTAGAAGTTGTATAGATCTGATTCACTGTTATGCAGACAACAGGTGGAGCCAGCATACTGCTTGAGAAGGCACCATTTAATAATTTATTTCCCCCCACCAAAAAGAAATCCCACCAGCAACCAATACTGTAGTTTCCAGATCTTTTCTGAAGGTTATGTCTAGGAATTTCCTTCTTTGCATTTAAAAACAGATGTAAGAAAGCATCTGGAAAATGTCAGAAAATGTGCATTGTTGCACTGTAAGAAAAACCAGACCTAAGAATTGAATCTTTTGAGAAAGGTCTGAGACCATTGTTAAATACAGGTCAGAATCATTTCACACAGCTTCACTAATGTTCATATCCCAGCCTTTTAACCATTAAAAAAATCTATGAATAGTTTGAATCTACTCTAAGGTTGAGGGACTCATTCAGAGTGTCTCAAGAGGCTCAAGAGTTTATTCTAAAGTACATTGTTAAATTAAAGTTGTGAATGTATTGAGTGATCATTTTCTTTTATTGCCCCCCCCCCCAGTAAAAATAACTGCATTAACTTTCAGCCTTTTTATGGTAGCAACAAGATTTGGTATTTCTCATGTACGATTAGTACACAGGGCCCTTTTATTGTGCAAGTAACAATAGTAACTCAATATGTAGAATATTTGGCCAGAGGTGTTTCCAACAAAATAAACCAACGTAACATTAATCATGAAGAATTGAGTGGGGGGCACATTTACTTTCCTTCCTCCTTGTATTTGACAATGAGGAAAGCAAACTGCCTGCCACATTCCACATCAAGAGCCCTTGACCTCCTCTAAAATTCTTTTAAGATATATGACCCTGTTCTTCAACAAAAGCAACCTCCAATACTCTAATGTGGCCTAGAAACAGAAATATGTCAATTCCCAAAATAATACATGACTTGAAAACAATTCAGAGCCGTCCCTTTTTGTCACACCATTACATAAAAAAGAGCATTTGACTCAGCCAAACAGGAAATTCCTAAAGTAGCTATGCTTTTTTAAATGCTTACTGAAGCCAAGTGCATGTTATACATATGTGCATTATACATCGCTTGATGTTATTTTATAATGAAGAGACTGGATTTGAAGAGCAAAATGTAATTCAGAGCATGTATGTAGCATATGTTGGAACACCTGAAATTTAATCTGCCTTTTTCTTAGTATATTCATCAGCTGTGATAGGCAGCCATGAGAGGATAGAAAAAGACACCAATCCTATTTTCTCTGCAAAAAAAAAAAAGGCTTTTTCTCCTTCCATAGGTAATATTAATGTAATATTACTCTCCAGGATTCTTACTTACGTACCTACCACATTATACAACAAAATCATAAAAGTACCTTTCAATTAAAATGCAAGTACACATTTATGCAATAATAAAAAACAACTGACACTTAGCCCAAAGTAAAATACAAAACTTATTGCAGCAAGAGGAAAAGATGTTGCATTCAATAAAGTGACAATAAAGGTAGACAATATGTACTCAAAACCCACCAAACTGAGAGGTTCTTCAAAATCCTGACAAAAAAGCACAGCATTTCAAAGTTAAGTTGCTTTTTAAACCTTAAGGGGAAGGAAGGTGAATTGGAACAGGAAAATTGGGATGGGGGTAGGACTAAAACCCTTCCTTTATTTCTCTGTTCCCATTTTAAAAAACAAAAAGGGGCCTACAGCTTATGTATTTACATGTAACATGTCATTAAGCTATAAATTCAGTTTCTCAAGGATAAAATGTATATGGATACCATTCCTTTCTTGAAATTTATTACAATGATCAAGCCACTTTAAATAATTTTAAGGAACCATTATAATTTGCAGTAAGATACAACTGTTTGCAATGTATTTCCTAAACCTTATTGTGTAAGGGAATGTTGGGAAAACCTGGATGTTATTTATGCATTATAGATACCGATTTTTGAAGCAGAAATTTTATTTGTCCATGTAGATTGGTCAAAATTCAGCCAGTAGAAAATAAGCCATATGTTTTTCATAAAGAAGATAAATGTCACTTGTACTGTTCAGTTATTTGATCTTTGACATAGAAGACAATTATAAGCACGGCCCATACATACTACGGGTGAGCAAAAGATTGGACTCTATTGGCGTATCTCTCAATTATTTGTCATGGACAAGAATACTAACTCTGTATTAACCAGCAAGAATGATAAGGTACTTTCCTCCTCTAAAACAGGTTGCTAATGTGGAGAAAGCTGACCAGAAAATGAGTAGATTTGTGAATGAAAGAATTGCACGCTGCATTCAGTATTAAAATGAATTCCTGGGCTGAGCAAATATCCTGGTTCTATATGCTGATTTTACAGCTTCTCACTTAAGTTTATACAAAATCTCTTAATAACATCTACAGTACACTTCAAATGTAGATATAATTAAATGTACAC